ATTTTCCCTACTATTTCTTAACTTATAATTTTAAACATTTCCCTAACAGCATCCACTGTGGCAGATGGAGGATTTAATCTCACCCTTCCCTCCTCACTTTAGTCCCTTCACAATTCTCTTCCTCTCTCTATCCTGACAGTCTGGTTACCATTTTTGGTGAAACATTTAGAGTTTATTTTATTATAACAATGGGATCATAATTCACAACTGAAATACACAGCATCTTGTTAGATTTCCTCACTTGTACTGTTTGCTTTGTCTCATATTTTTCTTAAATTTTTTTAGCTGTTTATTCCTAATTCAGCCTCAAATTTGTAGCGAAGTTAATGAAATGCCCCTGATTACAGTCAAGCTCATCCGGCAGGTAACCAATTGATTCCACTTTCTTTCTCCTTAGAGACATTCCTCCTGAAGCCCACTGTTCTCCCGATAGCCTGGGCAGTTGCTCTCTAGGCCTGGTGCACGGCTGTCATCCCTACCTACCCTTCAATCGCCCCATGAGGAGGCTTAGTCTATGACTGTGACCAACTCCCAGCATTTCACAGGATCCTGTTGCCTGAATCCCCCCGGAAAAAAACAACCTACATTACAGAAAAACGAACCACATGCTATCCTCATTTCTATGTCGTCTTATTTCTTAGTTCCTTATTTTGATAAAATTGTCTTTTGTCAACGTTTATATGAAAGGGCCTATGGGAAACCAATATACTGAAATCCTGTGTGTCTGAAAACTTCGTGAGTCTGTCCTTATGTTTGGTTGATACTGAGACCGTATTTTATGTTCAAAACATTATCCCTCAGAATTTTGGAGGAATCGCTTCTGGTGTTGCTAGTGGGCATCATTCTGATTCCCAGTCCTTTGTATGCAACTCGTTTTCATTCCGGAAGCTTTGGGGATTTTATGATGACGTGCTTTGATGTGGGCCCCTCCTACTCCAACTCATGGTGCTGGACCCGTAGTGGCTCCTTTCAATCAATAGTGGCCCCTTTCAATCAGGCCCCTTTCAATCAATAGTGGCCCCTTTCGCCAAAACCGGTTTGGCTCAGTGGATAGAGCGTCGGCCTGCGGACTCAAGGGTCCCGGGTTCGATTCCGGTCAAGGGCATGTACCTTGGTTGCGGGCACATCCCCAGTGGGAGATGTGCAGGAGGCAGCTGATCGATGTTTCTCTCTCATCGATGTTTCTAACTCTCTGTCTCTCTCCCTTCCTCTCTGTAAAAAATCAATAAAATATCTTTAAAAAAAAAAATAGTGGCCCCTTTCAATCAGGAAGCCCATGTTCTTCCGTTCTGGGGAATTTCCTTATGTTATTTCTTTGATAATTTCCTCTCCTTATTGTTTGCCTCCAATCGTCTACCTCTCTGTTCTCTGTTCTACTTTCCTGGATGGTTCTACCTTCTAACTATTCTACTGATTTTGTTTCTGCTATTTCTATATTTCTGAATTCCAAGAGCTCTTCCTGTTTTGTTTTTTTCAACCCTCCTCTGAAATCATTCTGCTCTTACAGAATTGTGGATGCCGCCGCTTCTCATTTCTCTGAGGACATCGGAGATAGTTTTTTGAGGTTTTTCAACTCTCTCCCAGTGGTTCTCAACCTTCCTAATGCCGCGACCCTTTAATACAGTTCCTCATGTTGTGGTGACCCCCAACCATAAAATTATTTTCGTTGCTACTTCATAACTATAATTTTGCTACTGTTATGAATCGTAATGTAAATATCTGATATGCTATATGTGTTTTCCGATGGTCGTGACCCACGGGTTGAGAACCGCTGCTAGACTTTGAGTACCATTTTTTTGTCTCTGTCTTTCATGTTAGAAGCCTTAATCAAATGTCTGATGAAGGGCTACCCCTCCTTACAGGGCACGGGAAAGCACACTTGGAGCTCTATGTGCCTGGGCAGAGCTGGTCAGCAGGTGGGCCTCACTGAACAATGGTCAGGTGGGCATGCAGCTCCGTCACTAAAAGACCTGCAAGGGTCAATACATGCAGGTTTTCTGTTGAGCTGAAGACCTCCCCCAGAAAGACAGGATCTGGTTTCTTGCCTGGAGCTGTAAGCCTGACGGCCAACTGGTGCTTCTGAATCTGGAGCCTCTCCCATTTAGTCTCTCCAAAGTGAATTCCTGTCTTCTGCTAAGGTGGGAGGGGCAGCTACCTGGGTGGTCAGACTAGAGAAGGGCTGTTAGGACCTAATTGCTTCTTACACACACTGCCCACCAATCTTCATTTCAGCTTTTGGAAGTACTCACGGCCCTAATGCCTCCACCTGTCTGGGTTCCTGAGGCTCAGATCCGGGCGCTGCTTCTGGGTGCTCCCCCTGCTGGCGGCTGGGTTTTAGCTTTTTTCGTTCTGTTAACACTTATAATTTCTCATTTGCTGTCCTCTCTGTTCTCCTTCTCTTTGTAGTTTCATAGCTTTTTATCTTTTTATTGTCATTTTGGTAGTTTTAGGAAGGAAGATAAGCACGTCAATCTACCATGTTTAACGGGAAATTGATATTCATTTCCAGCTTACTCTTTTCACCAAGGGTATAATGAACACCTTTCCTCGTCAAAGACTTATAACAATGCTATTTTTAATGGCTGACTGATACTCCTTTTTGTGACTGCATCACACTTCATTTGATCAATATCTGACTGCTAGGCCTCTAAGGTATTCTCTCTTTCGTTAAAAATTCCATGGTGATTAGGGTCCTTGGAACTAAATCTGTTGCATATATCCTTAATTATATCCTTAAATCCTGTCAGAGGCCTAGAGGTGGAAATAGTTGAATGGCATACACATTTCTAAGGCTTTCTGATACCTATCTGAGCAATTTACTATGAAAAACAAGTAATGTTCTTGTCAGGTTACAACACACACACACACACACATACAAACACACACATACAAAGACAAACACCACTAAATTTCACTCAGCAATCTGGTAAAGATTTGGTTGGAAAGAAGTTTACAACTGGTAGCCAAATGAGGTTCTCTATATCTACTGATTTCTGTAATTTCTATCACATATATCCATTATCACTTTGGATAATAAAGAATTGACCCAATATACATAATATAATTGACCCAAGAAATAAAACAGGCAATCAATTTGTTTTAATGTACACATAGATACAGGCACATAGGCTGCGCGCGCGCGCGCAGTCACACACACACACACACACACACACACACACATTTAATACTAACCTACTTATAACCATAGCTGTTATGACAGGCTCCCAGCCCGAGTAGAGCACTGTCCTGGTGGCTGGATGTTTGGCTGCTACTATAATCCAGATAGGAGTTAGAGCCAAGAAAAAGACACCAACCAACGGAGAAACGTAGTAATAATTCTCTAAAATTGAAAAAGAGACAGCATTTCAGTATCTGTTCTAACCATGTAGCGAATATTAAAAATTTACCAGAAGATATGTTATCAAACATATTCACAGGCTATTTATTTTCTACAAATTTCAAACAACTTTAAAACTGTAGATAAGGTGCCCAGCCCAAATGGCTCAGTGATCGAGCATCCACCTATGAAGTAGGAGGTCACGGTTCGATTCCCGGTCAGGGTACATGCCTGAGTAGCAGGCTCAATCCCCAGTGTGGGGCGCGCAAGAGGCAGCTGATCAATGATTCTCTCTCATCATTGATATTTCTCTCTCTCTCTTTCTCTCCCTCTACATTCTTCTCTCTGAAATCAATAAAAATGTATTTAAAATAAATACAACTGTAGATAAGATAAAAATATTAATGTAACTGAAAACTAATACATTAATTCAGCAAACATTTATTGAAATACCGATGTGACCTAGCAATAATAGGATGGGAACAGCAATAATAATAGGATGGGAACAGCAATAATAATAATAAAATAATAATTAAAACAACAAGAGTAAAAAAGCCAACATTTATTTGGCTCCTACTATTAACCAAGCATTGTGGGAAATGCTTTATATTCATCAACTCGTTTAATTGCCCTCACAAGTATGAGGAGAACACTGTCATTGTTTTTTTTCTATTAAATTTATTGGGGTGACATTGGTCAACATAAACATACAGGTTTCAGGTGTGGGTTTCTATGTTATAAGATATGTATGTCATTTCTACTTAATAACAAACTGAGGCTTAAGAGTTTATAGGATAGAAAACGGGAAAAGAGGAAGCTATCAGAGAAAGAGCTTGAGAACTGACAATCAAGCCTTAGTGCGAACTCCACAAGGCTAGGCCAATAATTACTGGGGATTTGTCACTCAAGACCTACCCCCCTTTAGAGGAGAGGCCTCTTTGAACCCCGAGAACATTCAGTAGACCCAAGAAGGGTAGCAAAGCTAGCCCTAGTGTCAGGTATGCTGTAGCTTCTCCCCAATCGAACTCAGAACCAAGCCTTGTGAGGCTCAAGCTAATCCACAAATGACAGCCCACAAGAACAAAGTCCAATACTTTGCAAAGAAAAAAATCGAGCATGTAACAATATTACATTCACAATGTCAAGCATCCAACCAAAGATTACTTTTAAGAGTTTGGGATAATATTTGGTAGCATTTACAAGCTTCGTTAAATACACTGAGACATCCTACTTCCGTTAGACATGTCACCCTTCTCATAAAAGTGTCCAAGTACTTATACTAATCTTTATAAAGCTAATAAATTAAATGTACAAATACAGTGAGTCTTAAATTTTCATAAATACTCATATATATAAATATATATACACAAATTTGGTAAGATTTCGATATAAAAACCACAAAAATAGGTCAATTACTTAATTATGAATTTAAAAATGGAATTAGAAGACTGACATGTTACTCCAATGGGCTAAGTTAACAAGTGCACACATACACAAAAATATGTACTGCTTCATTAGCATAAAACCATTAAACCCATGAGTCGAATTCTCAAATATTTTTATATTTAAATCTCCCTAAGTTTAAAAAATTGCCTGTCTCTTCTTGAAACAGTGACATCATTCCAGGACATTTTGGTTATATCATTTTAATTGATGGAGGTTTTATTATTATCAGAGATTATTATCAGTCAGGGCATTCTGGATTCTTCTCAGTGACTCTAATACTTATTTTGTATAGGAGAGACTTTATAACTTAAAGACAATTGATCTCATAGTCCTTGTAGCCTTAGATTTAAGTTAAATGTTACTAAATTTTCCTGACATCTCACAAAATTCTTCAACCCTACTCATATTATCTTTCATTGAATTTTGTATTCCTTCATCTTCCTAACATATTTACAGAACTTCTCACCTATGCCTGAAGATATTTCAAACTAGATAAAAACTCAAACTCTTTTCTATCAGGAAAGAACACCTTACTATAGATATTAAAATAATATCCAAACAACTTTATTCTTGTGGCTTTATTTGATCTTCCATCACATCTTCAAAATAATTATACCCACAAAATTCATTCAAAGATTTTCTCCCATTTAAGGGACTTTGACTAACCCTACATATAGTTTCTTTTTTTTTCTCTATGATTTTTAAAAAATGAAAAAACAACAACCCTGTATTGAATGGATTCCCAGTTCTCCCTTTTAAACCACTGGATAAGGATAAAAAAAAACATCCTAATTAGGAAGCATTCTTACCTCCTAAAACAAGCAAGATTGCCAACAATCTCTTTACAGGGTTAAACAGAAATGAAAAGCATTAAAATCCATCAAACACAACTGAAAAGAACTATTTTGCTAGGTCCGATCATCTCAGTATTTCATTTTCAGGTCAATAGGGGAGCACCATGCCAGGCTTTTAGGTTATTCTCAACATGAAATCTCTGGAAGGTCATCTGAAGTTGAAAAAAAAAAACACCTATCCCAACCCCTGAATCACTGCCCTGAATTTTCAAAGAGAAGAAAAAATTTCTCGAAATGAAACTAAAAATAATGAGTGCAGTTCCTCAAAAACTTAACCAGAGTTATCATATGACTTTTTGTCAAGAGAACTGAAAATATATGGTCGTGCAAAAGTGTACAAGGATGTTCATAGCAGCACTATTCATAATAGCCAAGAAGTAGGAGCAGTTCAAATGGCCATCAAATGATGAAGGAATGATAAGCAAAATGAATGATAACAATGGAATGATGTTAATCCATACAATGGGATATTACTCAGTACTGATTCATGCTACAACAAAGATGAACCTTAAAAACGTTCTACTTTGAAAAAACAGCCAGACATTAAAGGCCACATATTGTATGGTTCCATTTATTGAAATGTCTAAAATAGGCGAATCCATAGAGACAGAAAGTAGATTGCTGGTGCCAGGAATGGGGGAAGGATACAATGGGAGTGACAGCTAAAGGTTTCTTTTTGCAGTGATAAAAATGTCCTGGAATTAGACAATAGGCTGCACAATCCGATGAATGTACAAAACCCCACCAAATTGCACACTTTTAAAAGGTGAACTGTATGGTATCTGAATTATTATCACATTTTTAAAAAAATTCCAACAATAGCCCTGGCCAGTGTGACTCAGTTCGTTGAGTATCATCTCATGCACCAAAAGGTTGCTGGTTCAATTCCCAGTCAGGGCACATGCCTGGGTTGTGGGCTGGATCCCAGGGAGTGGGTATGCAGGGGGCAGTTGATCAATGTTTTTGCTCTCACATCAGTGTTTCTCTCTTCTCCTACCATCCTCTCTCTCTCTAAAAATCAACTTAAAATAAAAAAATAAATTGCCACCTATTTTTTTTTTAATTCCAACAATTATAAAAAAAAAAGGAGGGGAGACTATATTTTTCAAAATTGCCAATGTCATAAAAGATAAATGTACAGTATATACATTTGTACATACGTAACATTGAGAAAAAGAAAGAAAAAAGAGAAAGCAAATGGGGTAAAACGTTAAAATTAGTTGAATCAGGATTCAGAATATACAGGTGCTTTTTTGTACTCTTTTTATTTTTGCAACTATTTTATACATTTGAAATTATCTCCAAATAAAAATTTTTTAAACACTAAAAAAAAAAAGAGTGGGAAAACCATGATAAAATAAAAGTAACTGATTTACTGTAAATGTGTTCTATTTCAATTTCCTAACAAATCTAACACACCCATTCCCATCAAATTAGATCGTATGTATAATAGCATAGGATTCTCCTGCCTTTTCCTTGGGTAACTTCTAATCCAATTCTGATAGCTAGGGGAAAATTACAAGTATAGAAAAAGGGGAGTGCTAAAATAGTCCTCTTTTTAGGATATACTGGTGTCTTATAGGTGTCACAAAATTGAAGAATTACCTTTAGAAAACCACTAATGGCACAATCAGCAAGAGAAAAGGGTCAATTCAAAGCCAACCATTGCCCTGGCCAGCGTGGCTCAGTCATTAGTGTCAGCCTGCACCTTGAAGCTTCTCTCTTTCCCTCTGTCTTCCCCTGCCCCCTCCCTTCCACTCTCTCTAAAAATAAATCAATGGAAAAAAATATCCTCACTTCTCAGGTAAGGATTAAAAAAAAAAAAAAGCCAACCATTATCCATTTCTAGAGATTTCCCCACTTTGCTTTCTCCTGCCTCCTTAATCTACCACCAAGGGATTTCATGTACCTTCCTTATGTTTCTGTCCTTTGATTCTAAATGCATAAAAGGAATTCAAAATGCCACTCTCCAGAACATCTTCTCAATTATTTAAGATCTTGCTTCTGGGCATGTCCTCAAAAACTTGGCTCAGCCCTAACCGGTTTGGCTCAGTGGATAGAGCATCGGTCTGTGGACTGAAGGGTCCCGGGTTCGATTCCAGTCAAGGGCGTATACCTTGGTTGCGGGCACATCCCCAGTAGGAGTTGTGCAGGAGGCAGCTGATCCATGTTTCTCTCTCATCAATGTTTCTAACTCTCTATCCCTCTCCCTTCCTCTCTGTAAAAAAAAAAAAATCAATAATATATATATTTTTAAAAACTTGGCTCAAATAAACGCCTATAAAACTTTTTTTAAAAGCTAACCATGAACTTCTGCATTGATATCAAAATCTAAAAGAATGTCTTCCTCCTAAATAAAATATCTATTTAAATGTCCCTAATCGAAATAACATTTGGTATTAATTTCTGGGTACTGTGGTAGGCTGCATAAGGGCCCTCAATGACATCTGCACCGTAAAATAAACCCCAAATTTTTAATGTTACTTTATACAGCAAAATCCTTCCAACGTCAAGGATTCTGAAACGGGGAGGTTATCCTGAATTACTTGGGTGAACCGTAAATGCGATCACAGGTGTACTGAGAGGTGAGAAGCAGAAGGAGATTTGACTACAGAAGAGAAAGTAGTGTAACCACAGAAGCCGGGATGGAGCGATGTGATTATAAGCCAAGGAATGCTGGCAGCCCCCGGAAGATGGGGGAGG